CATGCTGAAATGGGCTTAGCCATTAGATTCCCTCCAGTCCTTGCAGAGCACTTCAAGAGTAGCCAGAGATTAATGCTACAGATATTAGGTTATTGTTGTTTTTTATTATTACTACATTACATACGATATTTTTATACCATTAGTATAAAATCTCCTGAGCTGATTTAATAAAGATATGGCCCTACCTACAACCACCCCCCAACATCAGCTCCTTGATCACGTACTTCCAGCGCTCTTCATGCATTTTACCTGGTGATCATCTGACCCCTTACAAGCTGGCTCGCCTCGGTGAACCCACAAAAAACTAAGCCAACCAAAAGGAGTGAGAAAGGCTGGATGGTATGGCCAGGCACAGACAATGAATAGGATTTTCCCCATCAGTGGTGGCTGTTGTAGCAGCCTACTTGGGAAGTCTCTGAAAAATGTTAACAGCCACTTCCTGCAAACTTATAGTGCTTTTTCTGTAACTGTACTAACAATACCCTTCTGCTCTAAACAGCAGCTAATAAATGGTTAGCAAAGTGCCTATTTCTGACAAGCATTTTCAGCAAAACTTCACAAGTCAGCAGGCAATTCCAATAGATGCAAAATGATGTAGAAATTAGCAGTCAGAGCCTTTTATTCCCTTTTCCAGACTCCTTAGCACACAGGCAGCACCCTGTGTTCTATAGGAAAGTGATATTGACACCTCTTTTAAGTGGATTTTTCAGGCTCTGAAATAGTGTTCTTGAAATTGAATTAAGATTATGGGACAATACATTTTAATATATTAAAAAAAATAGAAGATCTACTAATTAGAGAAGAGGTGACCAATCTCTGTCAACACAGTAGAAGTGAAATCTAAGTGACCATGTGAGGTTTAAATGATTAAATCTTTTCGTATTTCAAAAGGAACATTTTTCCTAGTGGACAACTTTTGAGATTCATTACAGTGCAATGCTCCCATGCACCTGTAAAACCACCAGTTCTCACTGAATCATAACTTGAAACTTTTCACAGGCTTTACATCAATGGCCACGCGTTGTCAACCTCCTGAGAAGAAATCCAGCCTTTGCCCAGCCTCGAATGGACTTTGGTATTCTGGCTTTTTTGTTTGCTTCTTTTTCTAGCTATACAACGTGAGTTATAATTGGCTTCTAGAAATCTCAGTTTAATTCTACCAAAGTAAGGAAGAATTGAAAAATAAGGTTTATAATCCAAGTGTTGCCACTCTATATGAAACCACATGGTTATCGAAACTGTAATGAAAGGAAAATATGCACAGTAAGCTACTGGAGATGAAACCCACAACTGTATCTTAAGTTTTCAAGAATATCACCAGTTAAGAAATGTACTGTTTTGTAGCTATACGTTTACTTCCACAGAAGAGTCTCCCTGTATGTAAAAAGGGTGAAGGGATGATTTGAGTACAAAAGGACAGTGACACTTCTGTGAAAACAGTCCCGTGGAAGGACAGCAGTGATGACAGAGTTAAAAACACTGCAGGGAGGGTAGGCAGAGATGAGAAGTCTGTTGCCTGAAGCCCATGCAACATATTGTGCCTCTCAAGAAAGAAGAGGGCTGTCTGTCAGAAGCTGTGGAAAGAAAACGCTGGGCTTCGTCCTCAAAGCCAGGGAGGACTGGCAGCAGCACAACAGGAAAATCAGACAGTGGAATAAATGGAGTCGTTTAAACATAAGTCTGTGAATGCTTTTTTACCTCATGGAGAAGCGGCAAAGCCCTGCCAGGTGCTCTATTCACCACAGCTCATGAAATCTCAGTCTCTGCAAAAGGAAGAGCTATCTCCATAATGCACTTCAGAGAATGCTACTGGTAATCCCTACTGAGTGTGGCCATGCCGTTCTTTTCAAACACAAACTGGCATTTTGTCACGGTAACTCTGTTGAGAAAACAACATTACATTTTTTGCAGTGTCAGCTCTCAGTGTCACCAAAGTACAGCAAGAAATAACGAGACTGATTCTGCCAGGAAATCCACTGGAGACATAGGGAAAACAAACCAGAGATTTCATAGCATACTGAAAGGACTATAGAGATCGATTTAAAAGCTCACCATGCAGTCACTGTTCTGAGGTCCACCTTGCAGAAAAAGTGTCAAGCAACCACATGGAAGAGACCCTTCTCTTCCACTTTACTGTCATTCATTAAAAGGCAGTTGCAGCAAGAAGTTTCCCATAAGCAGCAGCTCTTTTGATTCCAAAATTGCTCTACTATGGGAAATCTTATGAGTTGTCATTTTTACTCCAGCTTTATGTTCTGGATTTTTGCCTGGGCAATGTTCAAACAGGAATAAAATCTATTTAAAGTACATGCACAGTACATATTTTGCATAGATGTCAAGGGATGGGAGTAGGTTATGAAACAGAGAGTCCATGATATTTTATTTAAAAAAGCATTGTTCAAGGAGCTTAGGGAAAATATAACACTAATTGAAGCTATGAGGTTGTAATCCAGTTTCCCATCTGGATACACGGTGAGGCCAACAATCCATTAGCTTGTCCTGTAGCAAAAGCTGATTGAGAGGAAGCAAAGTTGCCCAACACAATGCTGTTTCTCAGTTTTTCAAACCTGTTATTAAATTATCAGAGAAAAAAAAAAAAAAAAAAAAAAAAAAAAAAAAAAAAAAAAAAAAAAAAAAAAAAGCAGCTATCAACCGTGTCCTGGGGTGCATCAAGCATGGCATCGCTAGTAGGTCGAGGGAGGTGATTGTCCCGCTCTACTCTGCGCTGGTGCGGCCTCACCTCGAGTACTGTGTGCAGTTCTGGGCACCACGGTATAAAAAGGACATGAAACTGTTGGAGAGTGTCCAGAGGAGGGCTACGAAGATGGTGAAAGGCCTGGAGGGGAAGACGTACGAGGAACGGCTGAGGGCACTGGGCCTGTTCAGCCTGGAGAAGAGGAGGCTGAGGGGAGACCTCATCGCAGTCTACAACTTCCTCGTAAGGGGGTGTCGAGAGGCAAGAGACCTTTTCTCCATTAACACCAGCGACAGGACCCGCGGGAACGGGGTTAAGCTGAGGCAGGGGAAGTTTAGGCTTGACATCAGGAGGGGGTTCTTCACAGAGAGAGTGGTTGCACACTGGAACAGGCTCCCCAGGGAAGTGGTCACTGCACTGAGCCTGTCTGAATTTAAGAAGAGATTGGACTGTGCACTTAGTGACATGGTCTGAACTTTTGGGTAGACCTGTGCGGTGTCAAGAGTTGGACTTGATGATCCTTAAGGGTCCCTTTCAACTCAGGATATTCTATGATTCTATGATCAAATCTAACACACAAACACTGGAGTGACAGGAATAACATACCCTGTTACAGCTCTCAAAACCCTCTAGTTTTGAGAAGGAAGCCTACACATCTCCTTGATGTATGCTGTTTTTTGTTTATTTGTTTTTAAAGAAATGATAGCTTCTATTAGCTGAAGACACATAGAGTAGTGAGATAACCCTACAACAATGTCATCTGCTTCCAGAAACCATTCCTTCTAGGGAGCATTTCACACAGCTGTTTCAAGTCTGCTTTAGACCCAGGCTCAAGGTACAATACCAAGGGAAACAGCACATCTTCAGCTTGTTCCCTGACAGCATTGGCCAAGAAGAACAACGAAGGCAATTGGTGTTCCAGTTAATCCATGTGTGTACAATATTCAACAACTAAGTACAGAAGACAAAAAAAAACTTTTAAAAGAACATACATCAAGCTCTGTTTCTTTTCCAGTGCAGAGCAATGGAAACCCTCCCACTGACATCAATGGGAGCCAGGCCAGACCTTAGAAGCCTTCACGTAAACTTCCATTAAGGAAAAGTTGTATATTGGTGTAAGGTATTTCTGCCTTTTTTTTTTAAAAAAAAAAAAAAAAAAAAAAAAAAAAAAAAAAAACTCGTGATAACCTGCACACTTGCAGCACATACTGAAAAAGAATATTATAATAGAAGAAGAATTTTCTGAGGTTGGTGATTGTATGCAATGTCGAAGTCTAATGTGAAAATCAACAGAATTAACTTCTATCAGAATTTATCGTACTTTGTTATGTAATGAGGCAATCTAGGAGGTTTGTAATAGCTAAAATCTCTTATAATCTTTCTCTATAAAATATGAAAAATAATGACAAAATATCATTGTTTCAATGGGCCATGTTAATACCATACTTTGAAACGTGTGCTAGTGTTTTTAATATTGCTCTTTTGGCTTCAAAAGCATAGAAAAGCCTCAGCAGAGACACACATAACAGCAAAAAGCAGGAGCAAACAGTCAGAATGTTATTATGATTGAATTTCTATTTTGTGCAATTTATTTTCATGTTACTCACACTCAGCTTTCATAGACATCAGTTTGCAAAAAGCTCAATTCAGTGTTTACTTTTCACCTCCAAATAAACTCAAGCTAATGAAAACATCTGTGCATTTCAACCTAAAATGTGAAGAGGCTAAAGCTCGAAAACTTCACCTGAGTTGATACAGGTGAAATGAAAAGCACTTTTGAGCTCTTAGTTCTAATGAAATGCCCTGGCCACAATCCAAACTTGCACCCAGATGTGAGCAGAGAACAGCCCTGCATCTTGGTTTCTGCAAGGAAAACAAACAAAACAAAACAAAAAGCTAGGAACCTAGGTCAGAAGATGATCAGGACTGATGAGCGCAATGTGGCACCACTCAAACTAGAGGCAGCCGTTGTATTTCAGTGCTATTCGGTATTCTACAGATTTCCAAACCAGTTTCCTCCTGTCTCTTAATACCTTAGTATCTCAACCGATGATTCTGGTTCATTAGCTGACCCCAAATAACAGTGCTGTGTCTTCTATTGAAATACAAACTGTATCATTTTCTCAGCTTAAACCCACGAAAGAGAAAACCTCAGTAAAAAGCCTGGAAGAAATTCAAGCCCAGCATAACCAGAAACAACTTCCAAATCTCTCAGCACTGTGGACCAGGCCACCCCCTGTTCCTACTCCTTGCAAGTAAACTTAACATTAGGAGACTTCTTCACAGCAAGATTGGCATTTCTTACCTTTTGCCACATTTTGATGAAGAAGAGCTCCCCAGAAAAGTTGAAGAAAACATTGGTGTCGTAGGCATCGTCCCCAATGTTAGAGATGGAAATGTTAAGTGAGATGTTCCTCACTGCTCCCAGGGCCAGGTAGGCAGTCCTGTCATCAACACTGTAGGCAGAAACAATTACACTAGATTAAACTCTTAGAAAGATAGGAAAAAAAAAAGGAAAAGAGGGTCAAATAAAATCCAGAAACAGGTATGAGTGAAAAAATGCATGAAAATTATAACAACCATCTATTGAACATGACTAACCTTTCCTTGTGTATTTATGCTGCACCTAACACAATGAAGTCATGTTCTATAAGTGGAATACCAATAGAATGGTTAATTAAGATAATAGTCATACATCATGAATCAATATACTACTGTATCAAGGCATCACACATCACAAATCCACACACAATTATTATTTGGTATATATTTAATCATGCTAGTCTCTCCAGAAGATGAGCTAACAAGTAACAATGTAGGCTTAAGATCACAGAAAAATATATAGTAACAATGCACAGGTTTGCAGATCTAGGAATAAAAACACAGTAAAAGATATTATGAAATATACCAGGTATAAATTAAAAAATAGCCAAAATATCTAACTGGTTGTGGTTACCATGAGTATAATGTAAAACCATTCATATACCCTGGAGAAATGGAGGGAGCTTCACAGGGAGAACACCAAGCAGCTGGTCAAAAAAGGGCAGAGTCCTGGAGGCACATAGCAGAGAGATGCTCTGTCATTTCCTCAGAGGGACAATGAGCCCAGAAGTATAAAGGGGGATCTTCTGAGAAAAGGCATCATCACACCACCACCCTGCCAGATGCTGTTGCACAGCACACAAGCACAGTGCAGCAAGCATCAGCACAGAGAAACCCAAAGCACAGAGAAACCCAAAGCTGACCACGCAGCCCACCACCATTCACCCTATTGCCACGAGGGAATGGCTGCATCAGGGAGAGGCACATTGGCACATGCTGATTCTTTGCATAGCAGCGACTGTCTGAAAGTGACTGGGGTGCCGGACGCGAGTTGTGTTTAAGGCAGCCCTCCTCATGGTGCTGCAGCCACAGCATCTGCTTAAATACGGGGGTTCCAAGGATGTGGCACTTATAAACCCTTCAGCATCCTCTGCCAGCTGTGGCCCTACCAAACCTCCAAAGGCAGATCTCACTGGTTTCTGTCTCTCTGCATTTTTCAAGGAGTTTTCCAGTTTTCCAGACATGGATTTCCAAAGGGATGTAATGAAACAATCAGAGGCTCTGGTGTGTGGGAAGTGCAGAGCAAGATGGTCTAGACTCAGGCTTTAAAGCTGATGCTTGTGGATTGTGAGCACAACTTTTCCACATAATGCACATAATATTTATAGCATATTTGTTTCCTGAACTTATTTAATTTATGATGATCTTAATATATTGCCCAAAATTATGGATTACAGTTCAGTGACAGGTTCTTATGAGGCAGATATAAATCTCCAGGAAACATTTCTGATTTCTCCTACTTACACTCAACTGCAGACACCACCAATCCTACCTATAACTGGACACTTTGCTTTCTAAATGTTATGGTGTATTCTTGCCATCAGCTATCAGTGCAAATAAATATTGGCAAATGTGTACACTGTACAGAATCCACTGAAAAACTAGCTTGAGAGGTCAAAATATTTGGAGTGGATGTTTCTTATGCACCAAATTAATGGGAAAACTATGTAAGAGTACGTGGAAGCATTTAACCTTTTGGCCCCAACATCAACATTCACTGTAGAAAAGCTGACAAATTATGAAGATATACAAAAACTATCTGCTGGGATTTGCTAATAATCAAAAGTACATAATTGGAAGACAAGAAATAAAAACAACCACTTACAACTACAAATTATTTGTCATTAACTTTATAATCTCATTTCGCGTTATCACTTCAAAGAGTAAATCAGCATCTTTCAAACCCATTAGCAAAATCTGGAAGTATCACTTCTGTAAGCAAAGAGGTGTTACAAGATATTTATCTTATGCCAGGTTGATACCATATGCAACGCACACTACACATTTGTGTCCAGCTATTACTGTTTAACATGGACATTGCCACTACTTCTTTCCCTTCTACAGTAACTTATTTATAATTAAAAGAACAATATGCAAAGGAGGAAAGAATCCACTCTGAATTGGTGGCAGCAGTACTTTAAGATTTAATTTAAAGATGATCATGATTACTGTCTTTCCTACTGAACAATAAAACAAATACTCAGAATGAAATCCTACTTAAAAGTAATCCCACAAAAATAACATTAAAATAAACACCATTAGGTTGTGTTACTCCTTTACAAGCCTATCACTCATCTGTTAGAAGTGCATCGCACCTAAGCGACGATGTTTATAACAATGTTTTCCTCAGCAGAAAAAGGAAAACCCACTTTCTGAGAGCGTACTAGTTGCTCCCTGATTAAAGCTTCTACACAAAATCACACCCTGTTAAACTCTGAAAAACCTCACTGATTTTAGGCTGGCAAAGGAGTTCAGATCTTCCTCTAAAAGGCTATAGGAGATTGTGCTGTAAGTCCCATTCTAAGAGTAGCTTTCCAAGTCATTAAATCCATGTACATCTGGAATGAATCAGGCTCACTTGCTGTAAGAAAAGGATTAGGAATCTCCCTGCTTGCAGGGGAGCTCCCGGGCCCCCTTTGCTGCTTGAGGGCACAACGTCATGGATGCAGACAGCCTGCTGCGGCGTGGGAGCAGCTCTGCTGCCAGCCTGGTGCCAGCCTGTGCCGGCAGCTGCTGCACCTACAGCAGACTCACTGACAACTCCAATTTGTCACTGAAAAGCTGTTGTCACCCGCAAGAAAGAAGAAAACAAACTAGAGCCACTTGTGGTCTTGACAAGGTATGTCAAATAATTTAAGGAATGGAATCAAGCAATGGCTTCTGGTTTACATTTATCATAGAATAACCTGAGTTGGAAGGGACCCTTAAGGATCATCAAGTCCAACTCTTGACACCGCACAGGTCTACCCAAAAGTTCAGACCATGTCACTAAGTGCACAGTCCAATCTCTTCTTAAATTCAGACAGGCTCGGTGCAGTGACCACTTCCCTGGGGAGCCTGTTCCAGTGTGCAACCACTCTCTCTGTGAAGAACCCCCTCCTTATGTCAAGCCTAAATTTCCCCTGCCTCAGCTTAACCCCGTTCCCGCGGGTCCTGTCACTGGTGTTAATGGAGAAAAGGTCTCTTGCCTCTCGACACCCCCTTACGAGGAAGTTGTAGACTGCGATGAGGTCTCCCCTCAGCCTCCTCTTCTCCAGGCTGAACAGGCCCAGTGCCCTCAGCCGTTCCTCGTACGTCTTCCCCTCCAGGCCTTTCACCATCTTCGTAGCCCTCCTCTGGACACTCTCCAACAGTTTCATGTCCTTTTTATACCGTGGTGCCCAGAACTGCACACAGTACTCGAGGTGAGGCCGCACCAGCGCAGAGTAGAGCGGGACAATCACCTCCCTCGACCTACTAGCGATGCCGTGCTTGATGCACCCCAGGACACGGTTGGCCCTCCTGGCTGCCAGGGCACACTGCTGGCTCATATTCAACTTGCTGTCTACCACGACCCCCAGATCCCTCTCTTCTAGGCTGCTCTCCAGCGTCTCATCGCCCAGTCTGTACGTGCAGCCGGGGTTTCCCCGTCCCAGGTGCAGGACCCGGCACTTGCTCTTATTGAACTTCATGCGGTTGGTGATCGCCCAGCTCTCCAACCTATCCAGATCCCTCTGCAAGGCCTTTCCACCCTCAACAGAGTCCACAACTCCTCCAAGTTTGGTGTCATCAGCAAACTTGCTCAAAATACCTTCTATTCCTACATCCAGATCATTTATAAAAATATTGAAAAGTACCGGCCCTAAAATGGAGCCTTGAAGGACCCCACTAGTGACCGCCCGCCAGCCTGACGCAGCCCCATTTACCATAACCCTTTGGGCCCTGCCCGTTAGCCAATTGCTCACCCATCGTATGATGTTTTTATTTAGCTGTATGGTGGACATTTTGTCCAGTAGGATCCTATGGGAAACCGTGTCAAAAGCCTTGCTGAAGTCCAAAAAAATCACATCAGCTGGTTTCCCTTGGTCCACCATACGGGTGATCTTATCATAAAAGGAAATCAGGTTAGTTAGGCAGGACCTACCCTTCACAAACCCATGCTGGCTGGGACCAATGACTGCTTTGTCCCCCAGGTGCGCCTCAATAAGTTCGAGAACCATCTTCTCCATGATTTTACCAGGCACTGACGTGAGACTGACAGGCCTGTAATTGCTAGGGTCTTCTTTCTGACCCTTCTTGAAAATCGGCACAACATTTGCCAGCTTCCAGTCTACCGGGACCTCTCCAGATTCCCAGGATCGTTGAAAAATAATTGAGAGAGGTTCCGCGATGACGTCCGCCAGCTCTTTCAGCACCCGGGGATGAATCCCATCCAGACCCATGGACTTGTAGGGATCCAGGTGGAGTAGCAAATCCCGCACACGTTCAGGGTCGGTTGGGAGTTTGTCATCCCCACCGTCCCGGTCCTCCAGCTCAGGGCACCCTGGGTCCCGAAGCCCATCATCAGCATTGAAGACAGAGGCAAAGAAGGCGTTAAGCGTCTCTGCTTTGCCTATGTCATTGTCTGTGAGGAGACCTTCCCTATCAAGGAGCGGCCCTATGTATTCTTTAGTTCTCCTTTTTCCATTCACATATCTAAAAAAACCCTTTTTATTTTCTCTCACAGACACAGCCAGCTTCAACTCTAGGTGTGCTTTAGCCACACGAATTTTCTCCCTACAAGCACGAACAGCATCCCTGTATTCTTTCCATGACACCTGGCCCTCCTTCCAGTAGCGAAACACTCTCTGTTTCCACCTAATCTCCATTAGAATGTTCCTGGTCAGCCACGCCGGCCTCCTGCCCCGCCTGCCTGACTTGCGATATTTAGGAATTGCCTGATCTTGTGCTTCTAGGAGGCATCGCTTAAAGAATGACCAGCACTGGTGGACATCAAGGCCTTCAAGAGCAGTTTCCCAGGGGACCTTGATGACTAGTTCCCTGAGCAGCCTGAAGTCCGCTTTCCCCATATCTAGGGATGAGGTTTTGGTGGCAC